TTTTTTTTTTTTTAATTAGTAAATTCCTTTTTATTTTTTAAGATTTCCCAATCTCCTATTCTGACCGGAAATAAAACGTTCACCATTTTTGTTTTTCAATCATTTAACGAACACACTTATAAATATGATTTCGATATAAAAAAAAATAATAATATATTTTTTAGGTGAATGTTTTGTTTTATTTTGCTATTTACTTAATTGAAAATTTTCAGTGATACAACATAGATAGTGGAAATTTAGGATCCTGTCAGATTGGGTGTAAACATAACAGTATATACAAACTATGTGTAATTTTCTTTACTAATATTCTTAATATGAAATTTTCGTGTCTGCTCAGTCACGTGATACATCCTTCCTCTGCCTCGCAGTTTTTCCCGTTTTAGTTTCTCCACACACTTGTTGTTTCTCTTCTTTGGCGTTCTTATATCCTACACTAATGCGCATGTGCTCTCAATTTGCAACTCGGAGTTCACCAACCCTGTCTCATTTTATATTTGTATTCTGTTATTCTCATTTTTCTAAGTTCACAACTTAAAGTACGCCTCATAAAACAACTGGTATTTTATGCACGAAAGTTCCATAGACAAGTATACATGCGGGTTAGGGTGAGGTTGACAAATTGTTCGAACCAAATGATTGAGTCACAAATTTGCGACACGTTTGTTTTGTTTCGGTTTTTCGTTGAATACAAATGTTTTAGATAGATAGATATAACAGTAATTTTCCTTGCAATCTATGAAAAATAATAAAACTATCATTAGTATTAGCAAATCACGTTAGGTTAGATCAGCAATTAAAATGAAGCATGTCAGTGAAACGTTGGTTTCCACAGTAATGTGACGCAATTTAAAAAAAAATGGTTACTCGCTGTTTTTCGAAAAAAAAAGGTTTGGAATTGGAAGCTGCTTTCTCTTCGCTTAGTGTTAGGAACATGCCAGAATAACCATTTATATTTACAGCGTAGGTTTTGTATGCACCATAATTTGTTTGTTTGTAATTAAGCACAAAGCTATACAACGGGCTATCTGTGCTCTGCCCACCACGGGTATCGAAACCCGGATTCTAGCGTTGTAAGTCCGCAGACATACCGCTGTGCCACTGGGGGGCACGTACTATAGTTTAATTAAAGCATGTCCATTGACAATACCGGGAAATCAGATCGCGCCTTTCTTCACAATATCGCCCCCCAGCGGTATGTCTGCGGACTTATACTGCCAGAAACCGGGTTTCGATACCCGTGGTGGGCAGAGCACAGATAGCCCTTGAGTAGCTTTGTGCATAATTAATTAAAAAACAAACTTCACAATATCAGATATCAAGATAAACACAGGTATGTTCTAGTTGCCGTAGTCGACATTTGAACTGCTCGGCTGGTCTTAAAGCTCAGAAAATCAAGTTTAATTCTGAAGTTGCATTAGATGTCAGTATATGTAGTTTATTTCCTAATTTTAATAAGTAATTTGGGATTGGATTTTAACAGATGGTCAATGTAGTAGAGTAATTAAAGTTGTTGTTTTTTTGTTTTTTGCACATTTTGCCAGCAGGTGGTTTTCAAAGAAAAATAGGTCACGTGCACTTCGCTCGTTTGTTTGTCTTAAGACGAATTTTTTAAGCTTGTTTCCCGAATTTATATAGCTGTTAAGTTACTCTTGGTAGCAAACACAACGCCCCCAAGTGGCACAGCGGTATGTCTGCGGACTTACAACGCTAGAATCCGGGTTTCGATACCCGTGGTTGGCAGCGCACAGATAGCCCATTGTGTAGCTTTGTGCTTAATTACAAAACAAACAAACAAACTTACCACAACATTCACAATAAAATCTAAATTTCTTGTTTTTTTCTTTTTTCTTATGTACAAATAGGCCACAGCAACGACTAACTAACGCGACTTTTTTTTTTTCGCTTCTTTCCTTTTAAAGCCCTCGATAAATATAAAAACACATCGCAACATTTAAAAACAAATGTGACTTGTCCAGTTCTTTTATTTCTGAAACGTGCCACTAGATGGACAGCAAAATAAACTTTTCCTTTTCTTTCACTTCAGTTAATTCTTGAAAAATGTAAAAATGTCACGATATTGGCAAACAGAGATGACTTCTTCGTTTCTTTTTTCTCTAGAGTGTCCTTGATGAATGTACCGATGCCTGGGGAATTAAGGTGGAACGTGTCGAAATGTAAGTTAAGTAACATTATTCGAAGTTATTTTTTCTACAGAGTTCAATCTAGTTACAGAGACTGGATATATGTTTTGGCAGTGTGTGTGTGTTTGACGTGGCGACAGAATGCTAGAACGTAAAAATTGAGCGAGCTGGAAAAGTGTGTTTAACCAGACACTCGTACTTCAACACAAATTCACTTAATTCAGAACATAAATCCTCTTTTAACACTCTTGGTTTGTACATGATGCAGTAGAGAAGAAATATCCATTCCCATCCATTCGAATTTTTAGCAAGAAATATTTTTTTAGTGAGCTTTGTTGAAAGTTTCGCTCGAACACTATGTATATTTAGTCGCACACAAATGCTTCTTAGTCAAATAGAACCATGATGATTAGTGTAACTGTTTTCTCTAGTTTAGTCAAATAGAACAATGATAATTAGTGTAACTCGTTTTTCTAGTTTATTCAAATAGAATCTTGATAATTAGTGTAACTTGTTTCTCTAGTTTAGTCAAATAGAACAATGATAATTAGTGTAACTTGTTTCTCTAGTTTAGTGCAATAGAACAATGATGATTAGTGTAACTGTTTTCTCTAGTTTAGTCAAATAGAACAATGATAAGTAGTGTAACTTGTTTCTCTAGTTTAGTCAAATAGAACAATGATAAGTAGTGTAACTTGTTTCTCTAGTTTAGTGCAATAGAACAATGATAATTAGTGTAACTTGTTTCTCTAGTTTAGTACAATAGAACAATGATAAGTAGTGTAACTTTTTCTCTAGTTTAGTCAAATAGAACAATGATAAGTAGTGTAACTTGTTTTTCTAGTTTAGTGCAATAGAACAATGATAAGTAGTGTAACTGTTTTCTCTAGTTTAGTGCAATAGAACAATGATAATTAGTGTAACTGTTTTCTCTAGTTTAGTCAAATAGAACAATGATAAGTAGCGTAACTTGTTTCTCTAGTTTAGTCAAATAGAACAATGATAAGTAGTGTAACTTGTTTCTCTAGTTTAGTGCAATAGAACAATGATAAGTAGTGTAACTTGTTTCTCTAGTTTAGTGCAATAGAACAATGATAAGTAGCGTAACTTTTTTCTCTAGTTTAGTGCAATAGAACAATGATAAATAGTGTAACTTTTTTCTCTAGTTTAGTGCAATAGAACAATGATAAGTAGTGCAATAGAACAATGATAATTAGTGTAACTTGTTTCTTTAGTTTAGTCAAATAGAACAATGATAATTAGTGTAACTTTTTTCTCTAGTTTAGTCAAATAGAACCATGATTATTAGTGTAACTTGTTTCTCTAGTTTAGTGCAATAAAACAATGATAATCAGTGTAACTGTTTTCTCTAGTTTATTCAAATAGAACAATGATAATTAGTGTAACTTTTTTCTCTATTTTGACGCAAACTTTATAATAGTCTAACCGCACTGTTTCTGCTCCGAGCAAATCTAGCGTTTTAAGATCATAATCCTACAGCTGGAATAAAATAATTTATTTTATATATTAACCGAAAACTTCTATAACTTATTTTGTTTGTACAGAAAACTTTAGAAATTCTTCTACAATTTTGATGGTATTTTTTTGAAATCTTGACAACTTTTAAATCTTTTATACGCATCCAAGAATTAAAACTATTTCAAAAAACGATTCTGCTCGAAAACATAAATAAATAGTGGTTAATTTTCCAACGTCATTGATTTTTCTGCCTAAGCCATGTTTTATTTAATAATATACATGAATCACACATTCAACGTTCTCTTTCGTATCAAATTTGCCAACTTTTTTATGGAAATATTCGAACTTTAATCAGACGGCAGCAGCAAAAGTTCTTATAAAAAACACACATTAGTGCTTATAAATCCCCATAGTAATCCTCAACGTCAGACCATGACAATTTTAATAATGAAACAATATTCTAAAATACAAATACCCATTTCCAGAACAAAATTCAAGCATAGAGGTTAAAAATTTCCGAAGATACTTAAAACTAAAACCTATGTAATATATCAGGCCTGACAGTTAGCAGAAATTGTAACATATGGAAAAGTTTCGTGATCTCAATATCTGACTTACTGCTTGTAGTAATCATAAAAATACATTATCCCTCCTCAGTGGTTCCGTGATAAGTCTGAGGGGTTGTATGGCTAAAAAAAACGGGTTTCGATACCAGTTGTGGGCACGGCTCAAATAGCTCGTTGTGTAGCTTTGTGCTTAACAACAAACAAACAAAAACCCCAGAACACTGTGCATCCTGACTGTGGCCCTATCCAACCAGACTTTCTCAGCACAAGGACCCCCAGAACACTGTACATCCTGACTGTGGCCCTATCCAACCAGACTTTCTCAGCACAAGGACCCCCAGAACACTGTACATCCTGACTGTGGCCCTATCCAACCAGACTTTCTCAGCACAAGGACCCCCCAGAACACTGTGCATCCTGACTGTGGCCCTATCCAACCAGACACAAGGACCCCCCAGAACACTGTGCATTCTGACTGTGACCCCTCTCCACCCACTGAATCTATAACTAATGGATATCTTAACAGTATTGTGTAGTTTGAGTATTTGCTACAGCTCCCAGTTTGGGAACCCCTGCACTAACCTGGAGGGGGGAAACACATTTCATTTCAAGACTGAAATATCTTGATAACTTACGAAGCAAAATTTTTGCTGTGTTCATTTAATTAAATAGCGGCTTTAGTCTGTTGATCAGCTGACTATTCTGTGCAGAGATAGCGTTAGTCATGAGACTTAGGCATGGCCTAGTGGTCAGTTTGCCGTAAGGTGAATCTGTGGATTCGTGGTTTGCGACTCGTTGCTGTAAAAACGCACTCCGTACTTTGAGGCACAGGTGGGCTGTATGAGTGCCATTCAATCCCACTATTCGATCACAAAAGTGTTGTCTAACTAGCTGTATTCCCTCTTATCCATCAGATCAAAATTAATTATGGCTATGCGGAGATAGCCCATTTTGTAGCTTTGCACGAATTTCTGAAAACAAAACAGCAACAAAAAGTTTCACATTAACCGGAGTCATGTTCCAGTGCACTTGAGGTCATGTTCCAGTGCATTTGATCTCACAGACGCTTTGATATTCGCATGTTCTCTTATACAGGTTAGTAGCAATCTCGTGGTGAATCAGTTTTACCTTTCTGAGAAACACAGACTGTAAAGTTATTCATCTTTTGCTAAATAAATTTTATAATTTGTTTATATCTTAAAACCAATATTTATTAAAAAAATAAAATTAGTTTAGGTTTTTTTTGTAGTTATACACACAGTTACACGATGGGCTATCTGTGCTGTGCTCACCACGAGTATCGAAACCCAGTTTTTAATGTTATGAGCCTTCAGACTTTCCGCTGTGTCACTGGTAGCGAGTATCGGGAATATATCTTGAAATAGAGATTGTAACATTCATTAACAGTAAACGTTTCTAAATAAAACTTAAGCGGGATATATACTGTTCATGAATGTTACAATCTTTATTAGAAACGTTTACTGTTCATAAATGTTACAATCTTTATTAGATATCCTGATTAGGTTTTATTTAGAAACGTTTATATCCCGCTTAAGTTTTATTTGTAATAGAGATTTAACATTCATGAACAGTAAACGTTTCTAAATAAAACCTAATCAGGATATCTAATAAAGATTGTAACATTCATGAACAGTAAACGTTTCTAAATAAAATTTAAGAAGGATATCTAATACTTTCGTATTATAATAATAATAATAAATGTAATAAAAGTGTGGGTTTTATAAATTTATTGAAGTAAGGTCTAGTCTATTACAATCTCCGAATTCAATACAAATGACACAATATGTAAAAACATGGTAACTTCAGAATCACTTGTTTCAAGGGCTAGGATATTTTGGATCTTTGAATGAGGTAATATATTTATATTTGTTTGTTTATTGTTAGGGGCAAAGCTGCACAAATTTTGAAAAATAAAAAACCTCTTGCTGATTCGAAGTCATTAATTGCAAACATTAAAAATACGATCACTTATTTCATGCATTTAACTTTTAACGCTAAAATTCGAGGTTCGATTCCCCATGGTTGACAGAGCTTGAGAAACAACAAACTAATTCATTCACTGGTCGTTCTTTCAGTGGCTCAGCGCTAAGTCTAAAAGCTTATAACGCTAAAGATTGGATTTCGCTACCCGTAATTAGCTGAGCGCAAATAGCTTTGTGATTAACAACATACAAACAAATTCTTTCTCTAATAACACTTTACGGTATCTTGAGAAACAAATTAACACAGTGTCTCCCTATTAAAATAAACGCTATTTGCAATTTATAGAATTCTTACGACATGTATAGTAATCAGAATATTGTCTAGGCTATAGTGTAGGCTATAGTCAGCTTTTCTCCAGTCATCAGTAGTTAACTGTAAACTTTTTTCGTACAGCAAAGACGTGCGCTTACCAGTTCAACTTCAACGTGCCATGGCTGCCGAAGCAGAAGCTGCTCGTGAAGCTCGTGCTAAGGTAAGTTTGAAATCTGATGATAAACGTTTAATTTTAATTCTGTCTTTTTGATGGCCCGAGCGTGACCTAGTGGTTAGCGTAATGGACTGGGGATCCGAGGGTCTCACGTTCGATACGCGATTCTACCACACATGCGTTGTGCACTTTCAGCTATTGGGGGCGTTATAAGAGTGACAGCTAATCTCGCTATTTGGTTAAAAGTAGTCGCTTCAGGAAGCAGGTGCCACCAACTGATTGCCTTCTCTCTGGTCGACAGTTCAAATTTGAACAATAGGGGTCTTTGACGTCGCCGCTTAGTCCACAGTGTGTATGAAATATTGTTGAGATAAGCCAACAAACTAACAAATGAGGTTTCTAGTTAATTGCAATGTCCTCTTCATAAAAGGAAAGAATTGAAAATAAGAATGTGTATTAAAATCGTCAAAAGGGATCTGTGATGTAATTTTCTTTTTTTCTCGTGTATTTTCATCTGTTTGGTCTCATGTAGAACTTACTTCGCACGTTTTAATAGAGTAATAAATACACCGAAGGAAACAGTTAATCGAGAAGCTTCAGTTCTATGGTGAGTGTTAAAGACATACACTATTAACAGTTAGAATCCAATGCACGTTATTTGAATAACTCTCATGGGGGAGGCTAATAATAAGATAATAATAATAATTGTTACAACGAGTGATTTCTCAGTATAATCCTCAAATTCAGCATTTGGTATTTCAAACCGTATTATTTGTTTGTTTTAAGCGCAGAGCTATAAAATGAGCTATCTGCGATGCGCTCACCACAGGGATCTAACCCATATTTTTTTGTATTATAAGCTTTCTAGCTTACAGGTGAGCCATCGGAGGGGGCATTTCCAACATGAAAGGCACTTAATGTCCACGTGTACTAAGTCATAACCTCCTGAGGCTCAGGTACAGTCATCCTTAATTTAGAAATGTTAACCAGAGAGTTGCTAGCCGGCCATTAGCACCAATCGGCTGTGGAGTTACACATAACCGAATAGATAGAAAGCATGTGACGTCATAGCAGCCGGGGCTATATTGATGTACGGAGCGTTCTAAAAATAGTATGCGTAAGAAAAACGATGTTTTATGTAAGGTTATTCAATGTAGTAACGGTTGTTTAAACTTCTGGCCATTATGATGCATCAAGGTCAGCAAACCGGAAATTCCAGCACTTACAGTAAGGTTGCGGCGATCGGATATCAATCGTTGTCCTGGTTACGTTCACCTAACTCTAATTACTAATTAGTAGCTTTATTATTAATGAGATCCCAATCTATAGCTGGTTTTCATTCTACGTTTGGCTGCTGTCTTCAGGGAAGTACTGAGAAGGACTATTTTCTGTGTTAGTAGTAGTCGTGATTCGATCCCGGGTTTTCTTGGTGGAAGACTGGTGATTTATCCAATCGTCTGAGATCTCTAGTAATTTTTATACCATTAGTTCCTGTATCCACCTAGAAACAAAGAAACTGTAACAATCTACACTTTTATAAGCTTTCACCTTCTGGTATGTTACGCTGTACTACTGCTCAAAACAAGATTGTTTTCAATATTTGGCCTAAAGTGTACTGACTGTTCTTATCGGCTTACCACATTACCATGTTTTCCGTTGTTAACCAGACTGCCACTGAATTTTGTAATTACTATTTTTATCATTCTATAAGGGTCATCAAAACCGAACTGTTTTGATTTTTTCTCATATCCTTTTTGTGCTACGTCATCTAAAGCTTAGCACTAATCAACAATATAAGCCAATGTTACGTTTACCTACTAAAACTTGCACTCCGACTTTTCTCCCTGTTATGGCGACGATGTCAGTCCCATACTGTAGCGTGATAGGCTATCATAGTTATAGCGCCCCCACAGCTGAAAGTGCAGAACGTGTTCAGCGGCATATAGCGGACTAAAACTTGGCTTCTTAATCTTCAGCTTGGAACGCTAATAAATAAATCACGCTCAGCTCCTTTACATTCAGAATTTTGTGTCTTTAACACGAATAATTCTTCAATTAGGTTTTTCTTGCAGTAATTAACTTCTAATATAAACGTTACATAAACTGCTTCTCAATGAGACCCTTACAGTCAGAATAACTCTGATTCTAATATAAACGTTACATAAACTGCCTCTCAATGAGATCCTTACAGTCAGAATAACTCTGATTCTAATATAAACGTTACATAAACTGCTTCTCCATGAGATCCTTACAGTCAGAATAACTCTGATTCTAATATAAACGTTACATAAGCTGCTTCTCAATGAGATACTTACAATCTGAACGTGATTAGAGCTATTTCTCAGTGTAATATATATATATAGCGTTTTTAATATGAAAGTTATAATTCAAAATGTACGCTGAAATTGCTAATTGTTTCCTAGGTAATTGCTGCTGAGGGTGAACAAAAAGCATCTCGAGCTCTGAAAGAAGCAGCTGACGTCATCTCTCAATCACCAGCGGCTCTCCAGCTTCGTTACCTGCAGACCTTGAACACCATCTCCGCTGAGAAAAATTCAACTATTATATTCCCTCTCCCCATCGATTTTCTCAGTGAGTTCTTGCACAGAAAGAACAACTGAGGGCGATCTTTTCATCCATTTCAATCGATCCTGTCCAGCTTAAGGTCACCTCGTGGTCATTAAGCTGATCTATTTAAAAATCAGGTCCGGTTGTTGAAAAGATGGTGATATCATAAGTGTTTTACACCTTTGTAATTGTGTTGGTAAATGTGTATACAACTTTCGACTTTCCTGACAGTCGACTCACGTGGTGTCCTTATTGTATTTAACTTAACTGACAAGCACACTTTATTGTACCTGATGACCAGGTAAGATTTCGCGCTCACTTTTCATAATCTCCAACTTAAAGCATCAAATCCTGTAACGAGATTTTAAGCTTATTTTATAATTGTTTTTGCGCGAATCCTACTCCCCCTTTGCAGTATATAATAACCATGCACTTTTGTTTATATATTTAAGATCGACCGAGAAAATTCGGATCTTACGCGTCTCTTTGGTTCGACGTAAATTTATTTTTGTATCCAAATTACTTCAAAACAAATTTTATATGCGACATTACGTTGGGTGTTAACTTCGTTATCTTAAATATAAACAAAAAAAGAACAAAAAAATTCAACTGAACCGACTATCGCAAGCTCTCCAGATGAAGTCACAAAATCAGCAGTGTTTTTAGTACGTATGTAACAATTATCTTTCTTATTTTCTATATTAATCTCCCAAGTTTAAAAATGCTCTATTGCTTTTACCATTGTCGTTTATGGAAATGATTACGTATAATTATTTCGATAAATATTCTCGTGTTTTTGGTCGTCTAGTGTACTTTTGTCTCTTTATTTTGATATAATACAAATTAGGCCTAATTTTATTTTGATATAATACAAGTTAGGCCTAATTGAGGTATCATTCTGTAGATCCAAGCAAATGAATATAAAATTTATGTATTTAACTTCCTTTTTTTAGTTCACTTATTTTTTGTGTGCTTAAAATATCCTATGAATATAAAGAATAATAAATAGTTTTTAAATGAGTCGTATTTAATGTTCAAACAAATGGATAAGCACAAAATATGATGATAGAAGTGAAGATGATTCTCTCATTTAACTTCCATATCATGGACTATTTTCATTGGACTTTCTGATAGAGGGCGCTAAAAATGTCTAGGTATCTTAAAATCGTTATAAAATTATATAATCGGGATCAACTTATGTGTATAATTTAAGTGTATTATCCAGAAAGGTTTATATATTATTAAAGTTAGAACTTAAATACACTCATAGTTTGTAGTAACCAGTTTTAACCAACAGATGGCAGCATACAAATTAATATCTTGTAGTTATGGAATATTAGCGTATAGCCCGTCAAACATGATGGGGCAAGTATTACCACCCCCACCCCATAGTGTACCCTAACCTCACATTTCATAGCT